AAAGGCAGAACTGCAGCAGTTTTCTCTAAAGCAGAGTGCAGCAGAAGTGGTTGAAAGCCTTACAAAGACAACTCAGAGCTTACTCTTGCCTGCTCCTGTAACCAGGTGACCCCCTACAGCTGCCACCGCTGCACGGTGCAGATAGGTAGTTGTATCCATCCGAGAGATATGCACAGCCTGACTGAAAGCAGGAGGAGCTGGGAGCCATCTCTGTACCAGATAGTGAGATGTCTAGCCCTCACCCCACCCCTTACCTTGTCCTATCCCTCTTTCCTAACATCCTATAAAAAGCAGAAAGACAACTTTTATATCTCAGGGAGAAGATAAGAGGCTTCTTTTCTGAGGGCCTCCATGACTATTGGATACCAGAGATGAAAAATACGGGGATTCTCCAAAGAAAAACCTGGCTACCCACCACCTTGTACCCCTCAGTGAAATTCACCAGTCCTCAGCACCCATCCCATAAAACAGACACAAAGTTTCTGAAAAAGCCATAGGGTCACTTTCTTTATTAAATAACAAAATATATATTAAGCTACAAAATTAAGGGCCAGCCAGAAGCTCAGTGGACTAAAGCACCTGCTTAGGCAGAATGCAGTGACTGGAGTTCAATCCCTGGTGTGCTGTGCCGGCCCCACCCCTGGGGCACCCTGAGACTGTGGGGATTGAGACTGGGCGTGGTGGTGCATGCCTGTAATCCCAGCACTTGGGAGGCTGAAAACAGCAGAATCACTACAAGTCTGATCTACATAGTGAGACCTGTAGACCCTGTACCAAATGCATATAACAAATAAAAAACTACAAAATTAAAACAATGTGGTCACAATAAAGGAAAATAGTTCAGCCCCATCTGTCCCCAGAGGAGCCCCCAGGATCAACGGTGTGGCAGGAACTTCTTGGGACTTTGTACCCCTTATGAAATCCCCATAGTTTGTGTTAAACCTCTGTTGTTTTCAACAAAGTAGCTAAATGTTACAGCGCTAAATCCCTTAGGGAAACAGTATGTGTATTGATCAGCTTGCCTGTTGCTGGACACAGCATGGACTCCTAAAACTTAAAGGCAGAAAGACCAAATCAGCTCACGTGTCCATTCTATCCTCAGCTCACTGTAAGGGACAAACATCCTGTGAAAGACACGGAAGAGCACAGCTGCCAGGAAGCAGAGTAGGGAAACAGGGCCACAGTGGGGCAGGCGAGGGACCCTACTGGGACCCAAGGTTCTGGCTCCCTGATCACCCAGACACACCCAGGGGCATGCTTTGTTTATCTACTGGGCATTTCTTTTTTTTTTTTAATTATTTATTTATTTTTATTTATTACATTTATTTATTGTGTGTGTGTGTGGCCAGCTCAGCCCACCAGGGGGCGGGACTGGCTGGC